ACTGACATACAGGGGAATTATTTGTAATCAAGCATCAACAACCTTAGCTTCTTGAGTGTGTTTGTAATAGCTGAGGCCTGATCAAGGCATCAAATCTCTCTTAGGTTTTACTTTCTTCTATGATTAGAAGGTTGGACTTAGGTCATGTCAAGAGGTCTGATAGTGCATGATTCATTGAATGAGTTTGCCTATGAGGAATGGTGAGGGCAGATGGAAAGATTTAAATGTCTAGTTGAATAACTTAGTTTTGCCTTTTTGAAGGTCGTGGCGGGGTTAGCATTTAGGAAAAAAATAATCCAAAAGTTCATTTCAAATGAATGGACTTAAAATGTCATATAAAGCCTTTTTGTTTTATGTCAGTGTGAGGTATATGTTAAGAAAACATTAATAATGACTATTGTTTCCCCTTTATTTCAGTAAAACAGTCCTGGGATTTCACTGTAAAACTAATAGAGAGTACTTACTCAGACCCATATTTGTGGCAGTGTTTTCTTGGGCATCCTAGTCAGTTTCTAATTTCATGAAAACATGTTTAGAGAATCATCCCTCTAAATTCTTCTCATGATGCAGCTCTTGCTGGTGACACACCCTTGCGCAGATGTACCCCCCGTGTGGCTGCTGAGAAGCAGGAAAGCCAGTAGGGATCCACATGTCTCAAATCTCAGCAGCCTTGGCTGGTGCTTCTCCCCTTCTCTCTGAGGCTTGTCACACCCTGCTTGTGGTGGTGGTGACCATAGCTTCCACGTTCTTTCTGCAACTGTCCTACCATTCTTAATTTTTTCAGGGGAGGTTCGGCATGTGAGACCCGTCAGATAGTTCTAAGACAAGCCAGCAAAGCCTTTAGGCTTCTACCGCATTTATTGATGTATTTAAAAGATAATTTTTGAACTTGGCACCATGGGGCCATGTTTATCTTTGTGAATCAGTCACTTATTTCTCTCATTTCAGCTTTGGAAACAGTCTTAAATTTCTCTTCTCTGTCTTTCATTGTCCTGTATCAGGCTGCTGTGATCATTCACACTGATGGCTCTTCTCCTTCCGTACTGTCCTCTCTGCTCGCTGCAGCCTGCTGTGGTGCTGCATGCTGACCGCTCCCTCGATCTGATCCTAGATAGAAGGTATAGGATCAGAGCCTAGAGCAGCAGCTAAGACCTCTGTTCCTTAGGTGACACTCAGTCTTGCCTTGAACCCTGAGGGCACTCCTGCCTTGCTGCATCATTCCAGCCTCTCAGCAGGAGCACCACAGCCCTGGCTAAGCCCTGTCTGTAGCAAGCAAAATACCAAGTAATAGTTCCTGCCTGGTGGGTTGTTGTGAGGATTAAGTTAATGTGGGTCACATGCTTAAAATATAACACTATTCAACATGGATTGGAAATAAGAGAAACAAGAAAGTCTCAGGATCATTCTATGTGCATAGTCCTACAAATTAAAATCTTCAATTGATTTGTTTTCCATGGCTACATATGCTTACATAGCTTGCCTATCATAAGAGAACCTGGCTCATGATAATCCCTTTTTTGGCCATCTCCTAGAGTATAGACTTTCTGGGGCATGAATTTTTTAATTCAGATGATTAAAATGATTTTATTGTAGGGATAACCTTGAATCTGCAGTAATTGCTTTCAAAGTCAGTCATTTATAGTTTTCTTATTGATACCCTGTTCCCCTTGACATTCTGGTGATAATTGATCCCTACATGTGGGTTTATTGAGAATGTATTCATTCTCAGCAGAGATTTATCCAAATGTACATGTTTCAAAATAATCTAATTACCTTCAGGTACCTCTTTAAAATAAAAGAGCTATAAGTGAAAACAATCAAAAGGCAAGGATGCCTTGGAACCTAAGAATAAAAATTTGAGCTCCTTAACAATGAGCTAAACGTGATTTTCATGCCTCTTGCATAATGATTATAGCCTAACCTCACTGCTAGGTGGCTACTCACATTGTACCTGTGCATGCTCTTCCCTTGGTTTGGAATTCTGCCCTCTTTACTTCCTGGCAAAATCTAGTGCCCATCTTCTCTCCTCTGTGGGACATCTCTGCTATCTCTTGCACCTCCTTCCCTGTGGTGTTCATGCCACTCTCCCCTACCCCCAAATACACACACTTTACAGACCTAAGCTCTTCACCTGTGTTTCCAGAGCACATCATTCATCTAGCACTTACTGTGTGGTTTGTGTCAAGCTCACTGGGTCGTGAATTCCCTGGAGAAGATGTCTTTCCTCCCAGTGCAGTATTAAGCAAGATATGGTCTCTGCTTTTACAGAAGTAGACCCAGAGCTTTAGCACGAGCTTTATAAAAGTGAGACTAAGCCTCTTTACTCCTACTTTGTAACACTCTAGACCAGCGATCCTTGACTAGCAGGTGGTATTTGGTGGTTGTGGTGGAGGAGATAGTATTCAGAATTTCCAGAAGATGGTTAGTGTAATTCAAGGAGGCATATTGCAAAATCATTATGCTGCTTTCATTTTAGCCATAACATATTATTTATTTTGAAATTTCAAATGGTACTAAAAGAAGAGCAGGAGATTTTTGTCATAAAGGGAAGCATAGATTTTTTAAAAGGTAAAGAAACCCTGCTTCATTCCCCACAGAAAGAGGCTGGCGTTTTTATTGATTTATTTCTCTTGAGGCAGGTATTTTTCAGATGCTAAGTTGCAGTTCTATTAGGTTCAAAATAAATATGATAAGAGCAGGTGGCAGAAGTTTTCACAAGTGAATATTTTGTTCACTTACAATGTCATAGGATAATTTTCATTTTGTAATTTCCTTAGCATTAAAGTTCAGATGTTAAAAACTTAGGCTAAACTTTATTTTGAAATATGTATAATGGTAAATCCAGTGGTGAGTGAGGCCAGAAGGATGAATGAAAGTGTCATTAGTGGAAATAGTGCTTCAGTTTTCTGCAGACTGAGTGAAGTTCTGGCTCTGCCTCCACCACTCAAGAACCTGTGCCAACTCCTTGTCTCACTGCAGAGTGTGGGTGGTACTGGACTGCAGCCATGCACAGGCGGAGCCAGCACCTGGCCAGTGCCCGGTTGCATTGCCCAGAACCTGTAGAAGGCTTCTAAAGTCCTTCCAGACAAGATCTCTCAGAGACAGAGAGCCTGGTGAACGTTTCTGTCCTTTGATTGTTTTCACTTATAACTCTTTTTATTTAAAGAGGTACCTGAAGATTATTAAGCATGAGATTATTTTGAAACATGTACGTTTTGATAAATCACTGCTGAGAATGAATTTTAGAAAATATTTTAAAATTGTATGCCTGCACTTTGTAACTCAGTACTTTTAATTCAGTTTTGCACAAAGAACTTTCCAGTGTGTTCCCACTCGTATACTCTTCTGCAAAGCTTTCTGTAGTCAGTTTGAGCTGAACTGTCTTCAGTGCCTTGGAAGCTGCCTAGGAGGGAACTAAATTTCAACCTGGCTGCCTATCTGGGACCTGATTTTCAGACTGAGTTGCAACTTTTTAGTGGATCACAAACTCTCCTTCTGGGGACATCGGGTTTCTGGCAGCTTCTGCCCTCAGTACTGAACCAGCAGTCCACTCACAAGGAGGGAAAGGCTTCTCAGTGACAGGAGAGTAATAGAAAAGGACCACAAACTCTATCTACATGGACCTTGCTCAACCTCCTACTGCACTGCTTTGTGTGTAAGACAAGAAAACATGCAACACTGGGACTCTTATGTTAATCTACCAGCACGTGATTTAGGGGTTTAGCATCATATTTTCATTGCTGTTCATAATGAGTCTAAATTGTGGAAAACAAAAAAAGGGCCTATATATTCAGATTAAGAAATCTGGCAAAAATATGTGTAGCATATTTTTGAGACATTTTTATCCAAAATTAATAAAATGTACTCTTCGATTTAAAGACATGTGAATTCGTTTGCTAGGGCTGCCATAACAAAGTACCATATACTAGGTGGTTTAAACAACAGACATTTATTATCTTGCAGTTCTGGAAGCTGGAAGTCTGCGATCAAGTGTCAGTGGGGTAGTTTCTTCTGAGGCCTCTTCTTGACTTGCAGATGGCTGCCTTCCCCCTCGGTCTTCATATCTCTCCTCTGTCTGTGCCTGTGTCCAAATTTCCTCTTTTATAAGGACTCCAGTCATATTGGATTAGGGTCCACCCTAAAGACCTAAACTTAAATTACCTCTTTAAAGACCCCATGTCCAAGCACGGTTACATTCTGAGGTACCAACTTAGGAACTTGATAGGGGACACAGTTCAGTCTGTAACTGTGAATTTCAATCTGTGGAGGTAGAGCAATTTATTGACTAAAGATACATGGAGTGCTGTGGCTCGGGCATGTGTATCATACCATAATTGCGACATACAGAAAGTCACCACTAGGGGTGGCTACTTGGCCAAGTCCTCAAAAGACTTCACCCTCTTTCTGTGTAGTATAGTCCTAAACTTAACAAGTAAGAGTGTCTAATGTTACCACAAAAAGAAAGGGTATGACAAGTACTCAAGAAAGAAGGAGAAATATAAACGCTAAAAGGCTGGTCCTGGAATTAAGAATAAGGCCTTCTGAGTGCAGCAAGTTTCAGTGCACTTGAAATTGTGTTAAACTTAGTGATCAGTTTGCATGTTTTTAACATAAACAATGTTGTAACTCAATATATATTCCAGTCTTTCCCATCAACAAAGCACCTTAATAAATAGGAATAGCAAAATTATGAGGAATAAAGATTTTCCATAATATCTTTAGAGCTTGAGGAAGTACTCAGAAAGACACATCAGATTATGTGCCATTAACTATGGTCAAGGAAAACTTGTTTTTGAGTAATTTCTTCTGTGAGTGGTAAACCAAAGGCTCTGCAGGAAGCACAGACTCATTCTTTGAAGAGTAGAACTATTAATTTGTTATTCCCAGGGCTAAGTTTTAAGAAATTAATTTTTTACAATGTTTAGAAATTCTGATTGTTTGAAATTTTCATTTACAAGTATTTTTAAAATACTTTTTTTTCTTCTCTCCTTAAAATTCAGCTGATGGTTTTTGGAATCTTTCTGTGCCTGGATGCGTTTTTGTATGTGTTCACCCTGCTTCCTTTAAGAGTTTTCCTGGCACTATTCAGGCTCCTCACTTTGCCTTGCTATGGCTTAAGGTAAGTTTAAGATCATTAACTATTGTAAATGTATAGTATTTCTTTATTTTTAATACTTGTAGTAGTTGCAAAGTAAGAATAATTCATACAGTTTCATCCACACTTTGGCCCTTCTTGTGTACACTGTTTACCTTTTTAATGGATATTATATAATATGTTTATATAATATTATACTTTTTATATACTTATTTTTTTCCAGAATTGTTTTGAACCGAAACTTTGCTTTAGCCAGTAAAATAATGTTAATGCTGGAGGCTTTGTAGCAGTGTAGAAAGGACCTGGGAATGAAAGTCAAAGACCTACTTACCACGTTCCTAAGTCACCAGGGCCTTTATTTCCCCGAAGTCCTTGGGCCTCGTAGGCATCATGTGTAGAAAGGACAGGGTTCTAGGCTGGAGTGGGAAAGGAATCTCCTCAGGAGCTCTTACTACAAGGGTTCCTCCATTTCATTTGAGAATCATTGTTGTAATGGTCTGTGGAGCCTTAGTTACTGGTTATAGATGAGACTGATTTGTGAGAGTAGAAGAACTCTGGAAGGCCACTGTCCCATGGGGAGGATCAGATAGCCTGACCCGACATTGACTGTTTTGTGAGCTGTGCACAACTGCCTGACTCCTCTAAGTGTGCTTCCCCATCAGCAAAAAGGAGCTATTGAGAGCTCAGCATCTTTTACCACAAAGATTGGAAGATGTAAAAAAAATACCCAGCATAGTACCTGGATCACAGTAGACCAGAACAGATAATCAATTTTCTTCTTTTTCTTCTCTACCAAAACTAAGAATAGTAAGGTGAAGGTGTTAAGCTTACATGAAGCTTAATGCTTTATTGGTCTTGAGGTTAAAAGCAAGTTTGGCTTTTACGGTTTTCTTTCTTTGTATAGTTATACCAGTGTGTCTCCATTCTGTGTATGGTCCCTCTTTACAGCGTTTTCATTTAGTTCTTATCATAAATGTCAAAGTTACGTTTCTGACATGCATCAGTTTTCTGAATACATTTCATTCTGTGAAAATTCTAAAATGCTAAAATGAACAATAATTTGTGAGGCTTCATTGAACTATGGTGACTGTTCCATGGTGTATAAAATATATAATTAATAAAATATTTTAACCATAGCAATTGAGTTAAAAATTAGTGGTTGATATACACAATTATATGGTTTTTTTAAAAAGACTAAAACCATGAAAGATTCTTTTTTAAAGTAGTAAATGAGCGTATACTTGATATTTGGTAACACATATGGTCTTTTTAAAAATAAGACTTAGTCAGTTTTGATAGAAATTCCTCACATTATAAATTGGAATAATTATGATGATGATCACATTATAAAAGGATTAAAAATTCTTGTTTTTCAAGATTACATGGAGTAAAACAATTATAAAACTTCAGCTCCTGTCATTGTTACATGCTATATTCTGTAACTTACTTGCCTTCCAGGATAACAGTGAATTAGTGTGACATATTTTATTAGTCACAAGTTAATCAAATGGGAAGGTAGTTTTAGAAATTTAGTCATTTAAGTTATTTCTAGTACATCCTTTTTTCTTTTAGGAGAAATTTTAAGAAGGCCTTATTATTAACAAACTTTTTAAAAGGCATTTGTAGCATAGTACATTAATACTAACAAAACCTAACCACAATAAACTATTTTCTTTTGTCACTATTGGGAGCTTCATAACATCATGGCATTTTAGTTCATTTTCAGAAGACCAAAATACAATCTAATAAAACATTACTAAATATACATCTTTATTTGGAACTGCATAAAGCGAATAGACACGTGGAAATTTAGATAAAGTCAGGTGAAACACATGATAGAAAATTACTAATACTGCTGGATGTGGTGGCTCATGCCTGTAATCTCAGCACTTTGGGAGGCCAAAGTAGGGGGATCGCTAGAGGCCAGGAGTTCAAGACCAGCCTGGGCAACATAGTAAGACCTTGTCTCTACAAAAAAATTAAGAAATTAGCCAGACATGGTGGCACATGTCTGTGGTCCTACCTGCCCCAGAGGCTGAGAGGTTGGAGAATCACTTGACCCTGAGAAGTCAAGGCTGCAGTGAGCCATGATTATGCCACTGCACTCCAGCCTGGGTGATGGAGTGAGACCCTGTCTCAAGTAAAGAAAGAAAATAAACTAATACTATGTAGGACTTTTCACATCTACATTATGAGCTACATTACTTTTTAGTTATTCTTTGATCAACAATGTGCAACAAGTTCATGTTCTAGCCATCTTTATGTGGATGGCTTTTAAAGACATGTCATGTGCTCAGTGGCTGTTGGCACAATGTGATAAAACATTAAAATGATAGATAAGCTAATGACTATATTCCTTCTGGAGCGTTCCCTTCCTTGGGCATTGGTTAGCACACATATGAGGTCTACTAAGTAAGAGTGGTGATTTGCCAATGATCCCAAGGGTCTCTCTTTGGGGACAGTTGTTTGAAGTTCCACCTTGTTATATTGTACAGGTGTCTAAAACTGTGCTGCACTCAAGTTCATTTCTGCATAGCCCCTGTTACATGGAAGAACAGGGCATGTAAAATAGTGTTAGAATTCTGAGTCTTTTCTAGACCAGCACGGTGGTGCACACCTGTCGTCCCAGAACTTTGGGAGGCCGAGGTGGGAGGGTAGCTTGAGGCTGGGAGTTAAGACTAGCCTGGGCAACATAACAAGACCCTGTGTCTACAAAAAAATAAAAAATTAGCCAGATGTGATGGCACACACGTGTAGTCCCAGCTACTTGGGAGGCTGAGGCGGGAGGATTCCTCAAGCCCAGGAATTCGAGGCTGCAGTAAGCTGTGATTGCACCACTGCATTCCATCCTGGGTGACACAGCAAGATTCTGTCTCTTAAAAAAAAAAAGGTCTTAAAGTGTTGGTTCTGAAAATTAAAAGGTGTTGCAGGGAACTGGGAAATCTTATCTCTTCCAGTATTGACTTTACTAGTGGTTAATGATCCCTACCTCTAACCTGTTTTAGATATTTTAAGATTTTTTTTTTTGTAGCACATAAGGTAATTGCTTTCTTACATTAGTTTGAAATACTTTGAATCTAAATTTGTTTGAGTAGCATTTGAAAATAAGGTGTTTTCTACTTTCAAAGTTAAGCTAAAATGACACTAGAGGGCAGCCTGTTACACACTACATTTAAGACTCCATTGAAGATTTCCCCTGCAAACACTTCTTGCTATTTCTGCTTTGGAGTAACTGAAAAATTAATTTCATGCTATCACTAATAAATACTTACATGCATAAAAAACATGAAATGCAGTTAAAATTATATAACAGTTTCAGCAGTTTTAAATGATAGGAGTTTAAATGAAACTTACATTTTCATTTAAATTTTAAATGAAATGGAGTTCAGGCAATTTTAAATGCCTTGAGGATAGCCAAGTTACACAGAATAGGAAAATCCTGCCTAATGTCTTAGTGCCTTAAGTATGGTTTGTTAAAATTGAGTAATTTGTGCTTACAGTAATATAGTTTGCAGTTTTTGTTTCTTTGAGCAATTTAGAAAATATCTCTTTGAGCATTATTTTTAAAGTCACAAAACTTGAAATATTTGATAAGGTGAAGGTTACATTAAACAAAGCTATTGTTAATGTTAAGTCTAAGACCTTTCAAATATTTTAGGAATATAAAAATACTTTTTAGGTTTACCAAATGATTATTTAGAAATAGCCAGATTTTGCCTTCTGATAGCTTTTATTCCAGGGTTTTCTACTTCGATTAAAGATTATTCGATTTGTCTTGCCTATAGTGATGTCATGTTCCATCCTTTTCAGCAAGCAAAAAGTGCTCTTTCCTTCAGTCTGACTTTGTTTCAAAGAAATAAGAAGAAGTGAAATAGACCAGCAAAGAAGTTGATTGCAGTTTTTTAAGTAATGGTTTCTTTTTTCACTCTCCTGTATTTCAGTCTTCTTTCCATAAAAACTTACTGTCTTCCTAGTCTCTTTGTTCTTTGAAATTGTTTTCACAAAAGGGAGGAAACAGTCCATTTGTCAAATTAATCATGATGCTGACATGGAAACAGTTAACTCTTTGCAGTCTCTAGAACTGTTTGGTTCAGTATCATTTCAGTAATGTACATTATTGCCTTCTTTTTATATTGAAGATTAGTGTTCTCACCTCATCTGTTTGCAGATTTACATCTTGTACAGCATTTGTGAGAAGCTTTTTAAAGCACATATACCCCCGTGTTCTCTGCTTCATAACTTAATATTTGAACCTATTTCTAGATCTTCTGCAAACTTGTCATGGTTTTTGACTTAAGTAAAATAAAGACCCTGTCCCTTCACTAAGGTGGAGGACAAGGGTGGTTCTACAGTCCTTAAGTAAACCCAGCCTTCATCATGATGGCTCATCCAGCAGGGTGTTTTGCTGGCTTTGACCCTGTTATTAAAGCACTGTTCATTATGAGATGTTGGCAGGGTAATTATCTGGAGTCGTATTTATATGTGGTGTTTGCCAAGGATGCACTCCCTCCCTAAAAGTTTATGTCTGTCCTCGGTGATCTGAAGAATACTTCATTGAAATTGTTCCTGATGAATTAACAACCTTGAAAAATCTTTGCCCCCAAATGTTTTGTTGTAGACTTAAAAAAAATTAGAAAATGCATCTAAATTATTTAAAAGCAGATTCACTTATGTATATCTTCCCTCTTTCCCAGATAAGAGTAGTTGTCATTTTAGAAATCATTTGAGAAACTTCTTGAACTAGGATAATCTTTTTAATGATTCCTGGCATATAAAACAGAACAAAGTTTTGATTTATTCTATGAAGTATCTATTCTTTGAAAGAATAATACAATTTTTGTTTTCCAGAAAAGCAGACTGCTTTATATTATGTTAGAGGTACCAAACATCCTTTTTCCAAATTTACTTGTAGAATTAAATGAAAAATAGCTAATTATGTACCTTTGATTTACCTGGCATTTTTGTCAGCCCTCTATTCTCCTAAAATTGGTGACTTCGTTTTGTGCTTTAGAATTCTTAGTCAC